GATATCTCTGAGTGTCCCTTTTGTGCATCTCTTTTGAAACATGAAAGGGACACTCATAAGAAGCTCCATAAACCACAAATTATAGGCCGTTGTTCTTCCAGCTCCTCCGACCCCTTCGCACTAGCTGTGGCACTATTAATTGGTTGCCGCTTTGTCATTTACGAACCAGTTCTAGGCTATTTTACAACATCGCATATAAGTTGCAAAGCTAAACGTGTCCCAGTTTTAGAAGTTTCTTAATCCATCGACCCCTTTACATAGTTTGCATGGAAAAACAACGAATAAATGTAAATGAACTACTTATTACGAAGAAACATAGTCAAAGAATGGCTTCAATCTTGATCTGGCGGTTCAGTATTTTCTTTGTTCTCATCGGTACTGAAAAGTAGAAACTATCTTGATATGCAATAGTAAGCAGTTATTATCAAAACTTAAGATTTTTCATTCTTGGTTTACATCAAATAGGGAGGTTTTGTTTCTTTTTAAACAAAATAGGTTGTTGTCTCCTATATTCTTCCTTTCAGTGGACCACAAAGTCTCTTTGTAAGCTCATTTGGGTGGATGTCTAACAACAAAATAACGTATATTATCTGGTAAACATGATAAGTATCCATGAAATATATTTACCCTTGAGGGAGATATTTAAAAAAACGCAATAAGGTGGTAATAAAAAGAATGTTAGGTATTATCATTTATCCAACTTCTGCCCATCATGTTTACGAACATGTTTACAAACCAGGCACAAAACAAAGCTAAGGTAAGGGTATTCACACCAAAAAGGAATCCATTACTGCTTTTTCCTCTTCCGGTACGAAAACAGCTTTTTCGTCTTTCCTTACCCATAGCGTAAAGTTACAGCACAATTTTAATGCAAGTACTTGCGGCTATTTCACAGCTTACATTGAACACATTTCTGGAATTGTTTCTTATTTAACCAACTCGTCCTTTTTGTCATCAAGATCAACGCTCTTTTTTGTCTTTCTTAAACTAACGCTTCCTTTTACCGCACTAGTCCTATTGGCGGTCACAAATTTCAAGACAACGCAAACTTGCGTTTTACTTACAACGAGTTAAGACACTATCTTCCTCACATAAAGTCCAGTTTGGTTTCAAGCAATAGACTTCGTTTTATCACCAAGGGCTCGTAATATCTTGTTACAGCAGGATTTATTCGTTACGAGTTAAACCATTGGTGTGTTAAGGCTTCAGTAAGTACGTTAAGAAAACCCAACTTACTAAAATGAGATTAGAAGCATCGTGGATTTACAAAAGACGCCAACCCATCTACCAGTTCTTATTGCTAACACTCTAGCGCTTACTGCAGCACACAGAATGAGCTAGAAATTTCTGAATAACCACCGACGCTGTTTGTCAGAGTATTCTAATAAAATTCTTAAAATACCTGGATAGCACACAATGCTCTCAAAAGTGTACCTGAATATTTTCTGGATGAGTGCAGGTATGTAATCTGGCAATCAGCGTTAGTCAGGGCACACTCGAGGGCTACTGCTGCAGTATAAAATAATACGTTAAAATACGGGAACCAACGGACATCTGAGGGGCTTTAGGTTGGTCTGTTGCACAATAATTACCGGTGTTGGATCCGTGTTGCCGAATAGTTCACATTTGGAGAAAGCGATTCAGCGCAAAACATAAACGAATAAACAATTGATATATTGTTAGGATCCCAAAATAACCACCGATAATAAAAAGAACTAGACACCCCACTGAAAATGGTCATAATTTATCCCGTGAAGACTATGCTGAACTTAAGTGAACTGAACTTAATTTTTAAGGCCATACACTCACTCAAGTGCACTTTTATGATTGAAAACCAAAATGCGATTGATTTGGTCATAGGTGTCGTTTATGGTCAATCGGTTTAACAGCTAAAACACATAAGATAATAAATATTATTATTATTGCTATGTGTAAAACATTGGTGGGAGCAAAAGAAATAGTATTTGTAGTGATAATAAGTGGGTAAGTGAATTTAATGTTGATCTCGAGGATTTGCCCATTTAAAAAATATATCAATACATTTAAACATACTGAATGATAGTTTATTGAAAAATTATCGATAAAGTCTTAAATTCTTCAGTTTGGAAATTTATACCCGAATAACTTTTATGAGAATGCTCCTGTGTTAGCTCCAACAGATTATTCTCTGTTAAACTGGTTACAGCTATCGCTATCTCTATAGATTTTAGCAGTTCTGATAACGTGCCTTAACGAATGTGAAAAGTCATGAATCTGGATTTATCACCGTAGTATATTTCAACTCCTACTGTGAATGATCTTGAAGAGCCAACAGGTTTAATAACGAAAGACGATAGATATGTGTTTGTAAATATACACTATATACCGCCATGTGTGGAAACAGGAAATCCACGTTAGGAATACCATAAAATACATTTTCGTCCTATTCTTGGCATGCCAAAAACAGGTGGTGCGTGGAATGCAGAAAATGAAACAAGACATATCATTTTGTATCACCATTTGACTAACAATGGAAGCATCGTTATTATTCCGGTTGCTGTCTTCATCAACCGTATTAATGTTCACAATATCCCATGGACCAAAATTGAAGATTGCAATATGTATTTAAATATATGGAGTGCACCTACAGTAATTGACTAGCACTAATTCCGCTAGAGTATCTGCCGCAATTTGGTGGACACTGCCGGGGGTTGAATTTGGTCGGTTTTGTGCACCATGTTTGCCCACTCGCCACTTGTTGCCATCAACTGGTAAAGTGTGAACTGCAAATGGACAATGTTTTACACAAAAGCATGCCCAATGAAAACCGGTGATGAAAATCACAATGCACAAGTTAGTTAGCTTTAACGAATTGACTCACGTTTCTCACTTGGTTATTACTCCAGGTAACTTTTGAATAATCACAACTACCCTCCTAAAATTAACCGTAAATTAGTAGCTTCTATGAACAAAAGTGAATTATTATTAAAACTCAACGTAGAATACCTGAGCATTGAGCAGGCTGATTGGTCTCGAGCTTCGATTTACGTAAACGATGTGAACTAATTAAACGGGTACTTACTTTCGAAAAATTTTGCTTGAAAAATGAAATGGAATAGAATAGAGTCCACGAAATATTCAGCCAACAAAATAGCTAGCATCGCTAGATATAGGCAATTAATTATCAGCTTTCTTAATCGAATTTCAAACCATGAATTGAATAAAAAACACATTACTTTTCCTGATTGGCCACGTACAATTATACTAACTCGTGCCTTGGAAAAGAGAAAAGCTAAATCGGTATCCGTTTCAATACTGAAAACATGAAAAACTTAGTCACACATCTAGTTTCATTATATTTTAAGCTCTAACCTATTTTTTTCGCAATCAAAAATTGGTATATCTGCGGCATGTTTCAAGCCTAAGCAGTTGTTCCTGTTTGTCTTATAGGAACTATGAGATGAATTGGAATATGTTTTAAAAATATAGAATGTACTATTGGATACATCTCGTTCTGATTGACTTCAGGTGAACTATCCTTGACAAAGCATGCCACGTCCTACTCAGTCCACGTCTGAGGCTGGTGATTCTGAAGTTCAGTTGAAACGAGAACTAAGCTTACTCAATGGGGTTACCATAGTTGTTGGCACTATAATAGGCTCCGGAATCTTTGTGACTCCGAAGGGGGTTCTTGAGTTCTCCGGGGCTTCAGTTGGAATTTCCATCATGATTTGGATTGCTTGTGGAATCATTTCTCTTCTTGGAGCTCTCTGCTATGCTGAACTGGGTACTACAATCACGAGAAGTGGTGGTGATTACGCCTATATCAAAGAAGCATTTGGTGACATACCAGCTTTCCTGCAGCTCTGGGTAAGTCACAAGTTACCTCATTTACCTAATTTAAAATTTATGATTGACATCAATCTTAAAAATTTATCGGAGCTATATATTCAGTTTACCTTTGTATAAAAATCGCCTTTTACTTCATATTGCCGATTTTTATAGCTGCCTTTTAACTTTTAATTCAAATGAGAGAGTAAATGGAGAAAGTACAAAGTTTAGAGAGAACTGTCTGGATATAGATACAGATAACACTCAAGCCTAATTTGTGAATAACCTGAGTTACTGCAGGGGCTCCACTCCATAAAACATTCGACCTTATCACTACATGTTTCCATCTATTAAGTGGGTTGATACCCAACTAGGATGCATGAAAAGACCTATTTTTTAATATCCCCGGTCAGGGTTTTCATACAAGTGTTCCAGATTTTATTTTGATCGCCTTTCGCCTTCTTGTGCGTACTGTTTACCTCGGCTAAATTTGACCATATTTGAGATTCATTAACTTAACGAGATGCTGATAGCCAGATAGAAAAATGTCAGATCATTCTGCTGCTTTCACAAATGTCGTAATGTTGGGCCTAGGATAAACCAAGTCGCATACAAAACATTTGCAATTTGGAAGTGGAAAACACAGTGGTCTTAGATACGCTAACAAATAAATCATTTAGAAAAGTTTGTAACTTACCTGGATTTTCACTCAACGGAAGATGATTATCTGCGTACTTCAAACCAACCAGCCTAAAGTTTGGGACTATATCGCAGTCTTTGTACGAAGATAAGATCGTTTGCAGAATACCATCAACTAGGAAACTAAAGAGAGAAACTATGGTGGACATCCCTCATCATGGTGAACCCAAACAAAGAGAACCATCATCTGAATCTCGGGTTTGGTTATTGATAAAAACAAAGTAAACTTATCCGCCAAATGCATCAAAGAGGGGCAGCAACAAATTCAAACGCAGTGGACCGAGTTAGAGGCAGTTTTTAGATCAAGAATGACAAATTATTCGTACACGAAACGTAATTATCATTGGTAGTGGAGATGACATTTACAGTGAGTATAGTTCAGCCGCACTGTTGAAGCTCAATCACTTACCTAGATTTAACAGACAGCGTCAGCTTTCATTAAACTGAAAATGACCGTCGGTTAAGTGATCGTAATGTTCTTATTTAGATTCATTTTGAATGGGGTATGTTGATGTTTTAAGAGAAATACAGTTGCTCATTTTTGGCCCAGTGAAAATCCCGTATTGAGCAATCTAGTTTGGATTTTTAGCTCAATTACGACGTAATTGATATAATACAAAAAACTGAGTGTTCATAGAAGTTACCAAAATGAATGATTCTGTTTTCTGTCTGTTGAGCTAATTATAAAACTTCTAAACAATTACTGAGATACACACACGCTGCATTGAACACTATGCGATGAATGAGAAAAAGAAAATGAAAATGCATGAGCCAATTGAAATGCCTGAACTATTGTTGATCTGATGTTTCCCTGATTCTGAGCAGCTGATAATGCTCTTGTTTGGAAACGTCTACTTACATAGACCGTTGAAAATAGACTTTAGTGGGATAAATCACTGGCTCTGTGGGATCAGGACGATCAACAATGCGTTGATATCCGTTCGACTTAGAGTTAGACTCTTAATGGCAGCAAAAATATACCCATTTTTAAAAATTATTTGACCTTAAGATCGACGGAGAATGATTTACCGAAGGAGACACATGCCACAAAGGGCCACAGTACCGCATGCTGTTCGCAATTCTAGCATCTACTCACATATCATATCATAGCATATCAAATTTATCAATTAACATAGAAAAATGGCACAACAGAGTATAAAGTGAAACTAGAGAGAGTGCGCCGTTTTGGAATCTAGGATAGAACTTTCGTTATTGGCTGTCATTTTTTCCGTCCAAAAATGAACCAGCAATTAAAAAGATGTTTAGTTCTGTGGCACAGGGATGTGAAGTTGTGAATTGTGAATACTAATTTGATACCTAGGTTATTCGAATTCAATGTTTTACCTTGACGTAAAAAAGAAAAGTTTTATTCCCTGAGCTTATTGCAAATGTCTCATATAACACCTCCCCCCAGTGGAACCAAGCTTCATTCCCCAATGTCATCTGTCAAGTAAATTTGATTTTAAAAATACTTTCTCAGTGATTACCTTTGGAAGGAGCAAAATAATTTCGTTTTGATTTCACTTCCATCTCATATTCATAGTAATAGAACTGCTAATATAATAATAATAATAATAATAATAATAATAATAAAATAGTACGTGTTTCCATCGTTGTACATAAAAATGCCAACATTTATGTGGAAGTTATTCGTTAATATTTTTAAGTTAGAGATCCATGATAAAATCATTTGTTAACCACTGTATTTGTTTGTTTTGATCTCCCCTAGGTCAACCTGATCATAATTCGTCCGACAGCACAGGCAATTGTGTCACTCACGTTTGCCTACTATGCACTTCAACCAATTTTTCCGAGCTGTTCTCCTCCTCAATTGGCCGTGCAGCTTTTAGCTGCACTTTGCATCAGTAAGTCTAGCATTCTATTTCACTGAGTTAAGAAAATTGTTTAGATAAACTAATAGTGGAAATGCGGTTGATCTGTTCAATTAACTGTTTTATACAAATGCCGTGAATTTTCGGGATCACAGTCTGTAGCCTCAAGTGATTATCGTAAAGTCACTGACTGATTAAAACCCAGCACTGTTATTGCAATATATTGAAAGATAAGTGATATAGAAACAGGTGTACTACTATATGGTTCATGACTCGGAGCTTAGATTTCCAATTGCCGTGATACGACAAGACCAGAAATTTCTTTTTTCTATAAACTGTGCTATATCCATAGGACTGTTTTAAGAAAATTGTTCTTAGGTATAGACTTTGAAAAATCTTTGATTAAACGAAAGTACAGGTTTTCTGTTTTGGGACTGGTGTTATACGCTCAGTTCTCTAACAGTAGATACTTTTTGTTCCTCAAAGCAACAGTTGAAAACACTGGTAAGTGGCTCATCCAAGTATTACGCGCATTCCCTGAGTTCGATAGAATGTAGTCCGTCGGGATCGGAAGCTTTTGATATTTTGAGGCAAATGAGGTATAATTGACATACAAAGCTTCGTGACGGTCAACTGTTCAGAAATACGATTCCAATGCTTCTTTTTCAGTTGACGTGGAAAATATGCTATTGAGTTCAGCTGTATATTCCCCATTTCCATTTATATTTGTGTAACTTGTGTTACATTGATGTTTGGCAGATTGAAGTCTTACGTTCAGATTGTGAAATGTTCAGTAGTCTCAGTAAGATTCTAACCCAGACATGAACATCACCGACGCTTTTGTACAGCGCATGCCCCACCAGCTGGGCTACGAGGCTACACCGATAGCACTGATCTTTTCAAACAGGCTTCTGTAAGTTGGATGGGTAATTCGAATGTAAAAAGATCTGTGCTTTCGGTGTAGCCTCGTAGCTCAGCTAGTACAGTGTGCGCTTTACAAAAGCGTACGCGGCTTCCATGGGTGGGTTCGAATCCCATCGAGGCAACTGAGCTTATCATAGCCTCAACATGACTCGTGTTAGCTTACATGCCTACATGTCAGTGAAAAATATACACTGGTAGTTACGCGGAATAAAATATAGTGTCATATAACATGCAAAGTAAAGAATGTCTCTGAGGTTTGTTTGATATACAAAATTCTGATGTGATTCACGTATTCAAATAAAGAGGTTTTAGGGAAGAAAGAGAAAGATAAAGAAGAATTGCATCACATTCCTTGATTCTATTCTACGACCGAATGGGAAACCTGCAATGATCCCAGACACATTAGCCTGTCTGGGGTTTGGGATCAATAAGGGAAACTTAACCGCATGCACGAAGTGTTTTCAATCACAAATACGCGAGGGGGTTGTGAAGTCGAATTTCCACCACCACCACCACCACTGCGATGGCTAGAATGTTTGACCAACACTGTACTGTAAGTTGGCCTGGAGCAGGGGGCGGGATATCTCAGCATGGTCTGTCTCCTCTCAATGTGAATCTATCCCGTTTATGAGTGACTTGATAGCTCTGGTACGTACCCTGTCTTGGTGACCTTCCCGGATCCGGTCTGAAAATCTCATAATTGTGCAGCTTATCTGCAAAAGGAGACACTGGAACATGGCATTTTGTCTTTTAGGCGTGAGCGCATGATTGTTCTATGTAAACGAACCTTGTGGCTGTGTTCAGTGTCTTGTGGACTGAGGTAAAAAATGCTGTATGAGTGACTTCTGACGCTGCAACACGTGAACGGCAATGCGGTGTATACTGAATGGTTATGAAAGTCTGTTTTTTGCATGGCGTTTCATCATCTTGCTGACTATTCACCCTGAAATGCCGCCTGTCGCGAAGATTTTTTTTAGAAAAAAGGAGTAACTCCGCTATTTAGTTTTTATCGCATCTATTGCTGGCTCTATATGTCGAATAGTCAATCTGATTTGTTTTTGACTGCATGTAATGACAACATACTGATATTTCCAGCGTAACTTTTTATGAACTAATCAGTCTAAAGAACAAGGGGTTTAGGTGATTCAGGAAATCGGTTTCATGCTTCTTCTGATAAGAAAATGAAATAGAAACCAATGATAACATATGCCAAATGTTTTTCACCTTAAGTTTGGTTTTATTTTCAGTTTTCTAAACTGAGCCCAGAGCAAAAATATGCAAATCGATAATGTTGCTGGTGAATGAGTTCACATTTGATGGTTGCTAATAAGGAAAGCCAATTCCAGAGGTCATCATGTAGGGGCGGGAGCAGTTAGATGAAAACGTATGAGAGAAAGGTTTGGAAGTCGGTGTGGCAAAACAAAACACCACTGGAAAGAAAGGGAAAAGGGATTTAGGAGGGAAAACAAAAAGTAGAACTCATCGTTCTCAGGAACACGTTTGTAAGATTATCAGATCAAATGAGGTTNTCACACCAAGATATCCGATGAACGGTTGCCGATCCATCTCACAGTTCCAAACGTGTACGAAGAAGACCGGTACTTCATAATTCGTCATTCTAAAAACCTTTCAAAAAGAGAAAAGGATTCCAGAACAGGTTTAAGGTTTCTTCTTAAGATTTTATATACATACATCAATCTACGATACTCATCATGCTAGCCTGAATGGTAACCTGATATGATGGTCTGGGGGTAAGGTTTATCAACTAGTACATTATTACCAAATTCAATAAGATGTGAAGCGGCATAGAAGATATGCTAGGTGGACATTGAAGTGAAAATAAGACAGCGCACTGTAGTTCACCTTATGTTAGGAGTAGTAAAAAATCCACGGCCTTGGTAACGTGTTAACTGTTTCCGGTTGCTTGCACAATTGGCCTATAGTGGGACGTCGACCACAGCTAAATGAAAGAATGCTGAGAAATATTTCACTACAGATTGTGGTGAGCAAACTGGCCTTGTTCAAGAAATACACGCGGATAGTTGTGCTGTTGTTTTTGGGAAAGGATAAAATAAAGTGGGTGGGCGAAGTTGAAATATCTAAGGTATCACAGAAAGGAGAAATAGTTAAACTGATAAAGGTCTCCGAAATTGTATTTGATAGATGGCGTTCGGTAGGAGTCTTTAAAACACCATCATATTAACCGAAATGCTGATAGGGTTAGGGAATTTTGAATAGCTTTTCTTTGATACAGATGTCATCGAGGTTACTCTACAAGAGTCACAGGCTATTTGTTGTGACGATAAAATTTCAGGAACAGGAACGGAGCACATTCCCTCAAGACACCAGGTCAAACTTCTTCCGGGCTTCTCGGATTGTTCGGATTAAAATGGGTCAGTTTATGGTAAAATTCCACAAGAGCAACAATATCAATAGGATGAATAGATTTAGATCCTGCCCGTTTAGTTTGACTGTAGATGAAGGCTTAGGGTTGTTGAATACCAAACTTACTCCTATATCTACGCCATAAGAACGGGGGGGGGGAAGTTTTGATGTCAGAAACCTACGCCAGGGCTTTCCAAGAACTACCGCCGGTTTTTGTCAAGTCAAAAATAGGTGTAGTGTGT